GTCAGGTCGTTTGGACATAAAATTGTCTTCCATGACCGAGGCAATATATGAACATATCCCGCGGTCGTGAGGAGATTATCATCGTCTACCGCAAATGAGGCAAAATTCTGATATTTTCCCGCGGTCGTGAGAACATTATCCTCGTCTTGCGCGATCGCGGTCAAATTCCGACCACCCCTCGCGGCCGTGGAGACATCTTATCGTCCCCCGCGGTCGTGTGGAAATAGTAATCACCTCCCGCAATTGTGGCAAAATGGTAATCATTTCCCTCGATCTTGTGGAGATTATCATCCTCTTACACAAATTAGGCAACATTTTGACCTTCTCCCGTGATCGTATGGTCAACATCATCGTCTTGCGCGATTTCGATAAAATTCTGATCACCCCTCGCGGCCGTGAAGACATTATTATATCGTCCCCATCGGTCGTTTGGACATAGTAATCGCCTCCCGCGATTGTGGCAAAATAGTAATCATCTCCCACGGACATATGGAGATAATCGTCTTCGGCGAATGAGGCAAAATTCTTATCTTTTCCTGCGGTCATTTGGACATTATCATCGTCTTGAGCGATCGCGGCATTGTTGTTTGCCGCGGTTCTGTAGACATCGTAATCGTTTCCCGCAGTTGTGAAGACATCGTTATCGTCTCCCGCGATTGCGATAAAATGTTAATAATGTCCTCCAGTCGTGTGGAGATCATCATCGTCTTCTACGATCGCAGCAAAATTCTTGCTGTTTCCCGCGGTCGTGTGGAAATTATCATCGTCTTCCGTGATCGCGGCAATATTCTGATCATCCCTCGTGGCCGTGTAGAAATAGTTATTGTATCACCCGCGGTCCTGTAGATATCGTACGTATCCCGCAGTCATGAATCCATGGTAATCGTCTCCCGCGATTGCGGCAACATTTTAATCATGTCCTGCAGTTTTGTGGAGATCAGCATCGTCTTCCGCGATCGCGGAAAATTCTGATCATCCCTCGCGGCCGTGTGTAGACATATTATCGTCTCCCGCGGTCACGGAAAATTGAAAACTCCAGGTAGAAATACAAAATTCACGGTTCAAAAATCTCCCACATGATTCCCGGATTTCCCGGTCGGTGTATACCCTGTTATATATATATATTGTAAAGGGGCGCTACTATTAGACGTGCCTAGGGCGCTGACAGGGTCAAAAACGGGCCTGGCTAGACATTAAGATACGATCTTCGAAATGTTTTACAGGACACTCTTTTAGCCATCTGTCTGAATACATATCCGTTGCTCCCGTGATTCTGCTCAGTAAGTCTTTGAAGCTCCTTAATAGTGAACTGACATTCGTCACTTTCTTCCATGTAGTCACACAGCTTGGCAAAATGATCTTCGGCAGTAGCTGGCCTTCCAACAGAGCCCTCTCCAGAAGAAGAAAACGATGTGAATCACTTTTTGTGATACCGAGCCTCAGGTGCAACAAGGTCATTCACGTTCAACAAACGAGCTCTTACTCTTTCTCCCCAATCATCCCTCCGTTCGTCACATTTCTGAAGGAAATTCTCCCTTATTTCTAGTGTTGCCACAACTCGAATTTCTTTCCTTCGGTCCAGAGGAGTTTTGGAAGTGACTAACGCCGAATCTCCACAGATAAAACATTTAGTTTTGAAGTCAAATACTTCCCCTACGCTTCGCCGTGTTGATGTTGAAGGGATACATAGTTCTGACACCCCCGATGACAAAACCACCGCGGCAATGCTTGAAGGTCTGGTGTAATCCTGCCTACACTTTTTATGAACTTTAATGGTCTGTTTACCTTCAATTTTTTCGTGAACACCATCTTTTCGCTTTAAGCTACTCTGTACAATAGTGTTAAGTCCTTTTGAGACTTGTACAATATCACCGTCCAGGCTGTTGTCACACAACGGACAAAGGGCGTCTGCATCATACATGTTGAACAAAAATTAATTACCGTCCAGACATGAATGAGGGAATCTAAAAACTGCAAAAAATTAATCCTTAAATGAAAAAAAAAAATGTAGATTGTCATAGCTAAGACGTTAGATATTCTGGTTTTTATATACATTTTAAAGCTATTCGTTATTAAACTGTTATAACCAACCTTCTAGTTAGAATATCCAAAAACTAAATAGTGTCCAATCACAATCACTTGTCAAAATTAATTGTACATCACGCCACTACTTCTTGTACTGTCATACGCCTTTCACTGAATTACTTCTTCAAACCGCACATTAAAGTTGAAAACTTTTTAGCAAATCGAGACTTTATCAGCACCGTTCACAATAACTCTCCACCTAAGACTGACGAGACACCGTTGCGAGACACAGAACTTCAACAGCTGTTTTAGGTGCTAAAAGCGAGCCACCGAACTTGATTGACACGTCATAAATGGGGTAAGTGTCAGTAGCCCCACACTCTCACTGAGTCTCTAGGCCTTCCGTCTGGAACCTCGCAACGTGTGATTGTTGGAACAATATTCTCTATCTATTATCTTAAACTATAATTTAATAAGAGTTCATATAATTAATTACAGGCATACTGGCATTTGTAATTAATTGAAACTAGGGCGATATTTAAAGTTTCATTTAAGATTATAAGAAATTAGATAAATAAATAAATAATAGGTATAACACTAAAGTCTACTATGTAGTCTCTGACAGTATTAGTTCAAACCTCATTAATAGATAATTGATTTTGCATAACAAACTCATTCTGTACTGTACCTTACCCTGGGTGGATAACTTCACTCGCGGTTATAAGGCGGCGTGCGGCACGACGGCTGCTGCGTCGTCGAGGCCCAGACTCTCGTCTCGTTTTACCGTTCCCCTGCCCATATTTATATAACAATCCTATACTTATTTATATGAAAATGTTCAGAAAGACATTCTCTACAACCTTTAGAATGGGCGTTTTTCATTTTTTCTACTATTTAAAACTACGGCAGAAAAACTGAAATATCGGCTTAAAGATTTGCTTATTTTTAGAGTTTATCATTAAATTTTGAAGAAAGTTTTGTATTTACCGCAAAAGTGTAAATGAACGTATTTTAGACAATTTATTTAGGAATATAACGAGCTATAAATGATTACAATCGGATAAACCATACTGGACTTAAGCGTCATTTAGTAAAACCTTGCAATTCCTGACTTTGAGGGGGGGTGGGGGGGAAAGCACCGGGGGGATTTTAGGGGACTTTTGGGAAAATGTACATCTCTATGTGTACTATCTAGTGGTATATAGTATTGCTTGTCACTAATTTGTTCCGACGTTGGTCGTTTTTGTGTCTTTATTGACTGGGCTAAAAGAAAAGATTTGATCTATCTGTACTTACTGAACAGCCTCTTCCAGGCTTAATTTCCTCTGTCAAAAGACTTCTTCGTGTAGAAGACGAGCCAAAGTTTGATTATCGTATGAAGTATCTTTTCAATGTGGTCAAAAAAATTTATGATACAAAAGAGTTCCAGGATATTATAAAAAACATGTTCACAGAAGCCACCAAGGATCAATGCCAGTCATTTGAGAACAATTGTATTTAAGCTGAGTAAACAGGTATGGGAAAATTTGCAAGGTAATAAACTGCAGTTTAGATTCATACTTGTTTGATTTATTGCCCAAAATATGTCTTTAAAATTGTCTAGATATATTTTTTTACGGATTCTCTAAAAATTTGTTTATTGTAAAATGTTGCTTGTAAAACACTTAACTCCTTGACTTTGAACTTCATTTTGATCTCTTTGCATCGTAAGGATCTTATAATCGTCCGATAATACCGAGCTGATATAGAATGCAAATTTGTGGGATTGACGAGAAGTAATGTCTTGCCCTAGATTACATGATTCATTTCCAATTATATTGCATCATAAGTGAAACAAATGTTTCGATGTAGATGTAATCCATTAAACTTTATGTTTAGAATTTAAATACCTTTAGATGTTGCATCACTAAAATGTGCACCAACGTTCTCTTCGGTAACAAATCATCAGGGGACTGAGCCATGGCTCAGTATAGTTTATTTTGTTATAAAAGCAATATAAAGGAAACTCACATTTTATTTACAACTAATTTATTATTGAAGTTTTAGTGGACTTTCAATTTATCATGATGAAATGTTTTCCGAATACAACTGTCCAAATTATGTACACTATAAAAAGTGCATATACAATTATAAAAACTCATCTAACCTGTTAATATAAATACCCCCAGCAGCAAACCTGCCGAATAAAAGAATTTCCACCTGCCTGAATTGATATTCAATTAAATCTATTTCTAAATAACATTAGGTTTGATGAGTACCTTGGTTTGCTGCTACAGGGAACCTAAAGTGTGTTTTTAGTAAAGCCAACCTAAAGGTGAGTAAGCGTAGCAAACGAACTTCAACCAGGACGTGATTGAGCCATGCGAACGAGCATTGACATAAAACCAAATTAGGACAGAACGACGTCTGTCGGGCCAGCTAGTTTAATAAACATGTTAAGGTGTTAAATGTTATGAGTCACTCAGTGTGGTTTTAGATTTTGAACGTTGCGGCTGCACCTCATTTTGACCTTATAAATAACTACAGGTGTTCAATTATTTGCGCGGACGACGACGTTTCTGTTACTGCAAGAGTTAAGCAGGATTTTTCGATGATCATAGGGGACAATGATGATGTGATGATGTCCACTTGATCATATTAATGTGAAAACATTGTCACATTGTGATAGATGCACATTACACCATTAATTTACGATAACTAAATCTAATATAACTTGTCTAAATCTTATTATTAAACTGCATTTTGGAAAGAAGAGTTGTAACAAATTGGTTAATTATATGGAATTGCGACATATTTAATAGATTATTACTAGACATATTTATTAGAGCTCGGTACAATCAAAAACCTCGGGATCTCACACCTCTACAAATTTGCTTTAAACGTTGTCTTACATTACTACCAGACTTGTTATTGGCTCTGTGTAGTGCCTTAAAGTAAGGGTTTTAGACAATAATACCTGTAAATAAATCCAATACTTTTATTATAAGGAATCTTGTTTACAAAATCTAAATTTAACTTAACTTACTGTACACTGTACACACAAATAGTTAAAGTTTGCTATAATAGCAATCAACTTAGCCAAATGATGTGCAAAACTCTATTTCTTCGTGACAATTTCAAAATGAAATCCAATCACCTCTAAATAAATAATTTTCTTGACAATAAAATTCAAAATTTAAGACGTAACTAAAGACAATGCAAAAGAAGAGCCAGTTTTATTATTCTAATGCAACTAAAAAGACGACTGGAACTTATAGCTTTTGCCAAGAAGTAATAATAGTTGTATTTTATACTAAGAAAATACTACTAATATAACAAAAGGGAAAGTGTTTAAATATTTTCCTTTTATTTCTGTATCCAAGTTGGAACTTAAAATTATCAAATTTAAATCTTACATGAGAATATGTCACAACACATCAGAATAACATTGTGGTTTGTTCATGATTTGACATAGACTTGGAGACCTGCTCCGGGAGCCTCGAGAAAGTGATCATTGGGAACACATATTGGCAATGTTGATTATTTGGTAAATGTCACCTCGGTATCCTTATCTAAATGTTCAGTTGTCCACTTCTACCTGTAACAGAAACATTTCATGATTATAAAACTAATTAAATTTATATTATGTTAATATTATTTAAGCTCTAGGGAAGGTGTTAAGGGGTTAGGTGAATCAGGGGCAAAGCACTTCAATTCATATGAAATACTTTTAATCAACAAGTAATTAATTAGTTTCAAAAATTCAGTAAGAAAATTTTGTAATAAAGAAAAATCTTGTCTCTGTTATCAACATTACATAATCATAATACATAAAAACGGTGATGGACATTTTGAAAAACTGATGTTTAAATACTTCAGAATTCGGTTGTGATTGGAAGTACATTTTCTAAATGAGTAGGTCAACTCTAAATTTTGATCAGTGATTATTTCGGTGCCCCATGTCCTTTAAAATATTATTTTTACTATTGAAACAACATTTTATCTGATGCTAATGTAGCCTATATAAATCTCTCTGGGAACACAAAACTTTACTTTTACACATTGACACAATGTTTGCTCCTTAAGTTTGATATTTCCATTGATACTGAAAATATGTTGTATAGGCCTTGTTTAATTGTAGGAAATGACAAGAAAATTGTTCATAAAAACACACATCACAACAGGTTAAGTGTAAGAGAGGGCCATGTGGCCCTAACTTTGCCTGACTAAATAAATCATTTTCGTTTCATTTCATTTCATCAGATAAAGGTCTTGTTTTGTATTATTGCATCACGTTTGCTTACACTGGGTTAGGCAAGGGAGTGTCTAAGGTTAGACAGTTGTCATCCCTATTTATTCTACAATTCAAAAACCTAGCCTAGAGCCTAACCCTGAACAAAACTAACATAACTTTGCAAGTTCTTACCTAAAACCCGTGGTAATCGCCAGATGCCTCATTGTCCAGATCAAAGAAAGGGGGCAACTGAGGGGTGTACGCCGAGGACGTCGCTGCCGGAGGCGCCGGTGGCTGCAGAGTGGGGGGTGGCGGAGCTGGTGAAGCTGGAGGGGAGGGGGAATCCAGTGTGATAATGTTAGGACTGATATAGCCAGGCGTGGCAGCCGTGGACGTGTTGCTGCTCACTTCTACCAACATAACAAACAGTTCTCATTCTGTATACTCTTAACATTTAGGATTACATCAGAACTACGAATAACTGTCAATCTCTAATCAGTAATCTCAAAAATCTTTGTGTTGTGTCAAAACCAAATCTCAATTCTCAAAACCAAAACTTAGTAAAGGTTTCAGTTTTGAAATTTGCTCAATGAGTTTCAAGATTCAAGAATTAAAACTGTAACTACTGACAATGTTGGGGTCAATATTGAAATATTATTATATGCAACAGAAAATATGGTCCCTTTTTCTTCTTGGGAATTTATTTCAATGTTTGTTGTTTATGAAAAATTATGTTATTATGGGTCTAAAGTAGATAGATGTCATATCCATGTTTTTTATCTCAATGCCAACAGTTTCATTTATTTAAATGTGTTTGTTATTAATAAAAAAATTTTGAAATATTTGTGTAATGGCTGAAATGATATTTTTTTTTGTTCTGACTGTATAATAACATTTTACTATTATCTGCATTTTTTTATAACTACAGTATACATAAAAAAAGTTTAGGGCTTCAATTTTGAGATTCGAGATTGGAGTTTCTTTTTTGTTTTTCCTTTTTTTGTAAAGGTAGTACGTTAAACAAAAAAAATTACGCATACAAACGGATTCTACAAACTACTGAAACATGACCGCAGCTACGACAGTACAAACATGACAGTAACAAACGAAATTCTAACCTGCAGATTTGTTGCTGTCTGTCTTGTTGATGATAGGTGTAGGGGCTACATCATCATCATCATCGTCACTCAGCGTCAGGTCCACGGTGCTCACATTGGGCTTCTTAGGGACCTCAGCAGCCGACGCTTTCACTTTGGGCTTGTCTTCGACGTCTGACCCTTCGTCTACCGGCACCACGTCTGTGTAAACAACACTTGTAAATTGAGTGGACGGATCCAAACTATCTTTACTCATTCACTTATGCACAGGGGTAAAAAATAATGTTATTGTGAAAACCATATGATTCTAGATAATAGCTTTGACTATTAGACATTCCATTCCCATAGAGTTGTCCCCAGTTTTTGAGTCAAACCAAGTAAAACTGATAAGAAAACTTATTGTAAGCTGTAGCATCTTTCACGTCAAGCATATGATTCTAGATAATAGCTTTGACTATTAGACATTCCATTCCCATAGAGTTGTCCCCAGTTTTTGAGTCAAACCAAGTAAAACTGATAAGAAAACTTATTGTAAGCTGTAGCATCTTTCACGTCAAGCATATGATTCTAGATAATAGCTTTGACTATTAGACATTCCATTCCCATAGAGTTGTCCCCAGTTTTTGAGTCAAACCAAGTAAAACTGATAAGAAAACTTATTGTAAGCTGTAGCATCTTTCACGTCAAGCATATGATTCTAGATAATAGCTTTGACTATTAGACATTCCATTCAAATAAAGTTGTCCCCAGTTTTTGAGTCAAACCAAGTAAAACTGATAAGAAAACTTATTGTAAGCTGTAGCATCTTTCACGTCAAGTCTATCTCAGCAACAAAAAATAAGGTAGAAAATATAATTTTATTCATTAGCTCAGGAGTAATTCACAAAACTTTGTTTTTTTATAAGCAATTTTGTGACAGCTCGTCCATACAACTACTCAGGTATCCAAAAGTCTTCGTCAGTACTTCATTTTTTTAACAAAAAAGGTACCATTTGACAAGTATTTGAACTAACGATGGGATATTCGATAAAAGAACCACTAAGTACGCCTACTTACCATCATCTGCGATTTCCACAGTCGCCTCCACAACTGGTGGTCCTCCACGGCTTTTTACCTGTATAAACATCAGGAATACTTCAATAATCACAAACACACATTTGGCTATATGAATAAAATATCATGTGACTAATAAGTTTCAAAAGAAAATTGCATAAGAAAACCCACACAGATAAAGCCTAGTCCACACATGGCGATTTGTCTCCGGAAACATTGTTGGCAGACTGTCAGCCTACTGTCGGCCGACTGTTTACCGACCGTTGGCAGACAAATTTCTGTGTTTCTGAAGACAAAATACAGTGATTTTTGTTTCCCTTATGTTTTATGTTATGGGAATTACACCTTGAAATATATGTTTACAACATACCAGCAACAAACCATGTGGGTTTTGACACTATTACAATCCTTCCTAGAGAAACTTGCGGGTCCACCATCGTCTCTTTCTTCGTTCATTAGCCACCTCGTTTAGAAGTATGAAGCCCACACAGGTTATAATTACGTCCTTCTCAGTCACCTTACCATCAAACACTGGCTGGCTAGTGTGGATGCAAAACACATAGGAAACATGTATCCAAAACAGCGTTGACAGACTCGACTCAGTCTCCATGTGTGGACTAAGCTTAACAGGATGGTAGTCAAAACAAGAAAAAAAAAATCTTAAAAGAAAAAAAATGGTACAAATAGAGGATGGATCGCAGTGGCTCAAGCACGACTTTCTCGTTCCGACTACTCTTCAGTTCTAGTGTGGCTTTTCTCATGAGATTTTGCAGCTTAAGCTAGTGTGTAAAATAATCTTGTTACCTAAGGTCCTTTTTCACCTAGGGTCACGATCAGATTTCAGATCCCAAAATGTGCAAACTTTGTTTTTACTCATCATGATGGGAAAAGTCACCAATAATTCTTTAAATAAGTTTAACATAAATGCCCAAATAGCTTCAAAAATTGAAGGACAGCATATCCTACAGCTTTTACTTCCTGACAAACCGTAATACTTTTAATTACGCTTCTGATTAAAACCACTTACCGGTGGAGGTTCATCCGATTTGTCCTCCTTCTTTGGTAAACAGATGGACCACGTCCCGTCTTGGTGAAGCTGTATCTCATTGGCTTCAGGAGTGATCTTTGCACTGTTCAACACCTCTTGGAAATACCTGGGCACACACGTGATAACAATACAATAAAGGCAATATTTCGGGAAACCTTAGCAGAAACCATTCCTGGATAACTGATCTAACAACAGCAGACATACGTAACTTACACATTGCCTATAGTTTGTAAGAATTAAGACTTTGAAATTGGTTACATTGTGGGTGCGAGTAAACCAGTACACCCTGGTAGAATAAGTGGAAAATACTGGATCAATCACACTACACTACTAGAGGTTGAGACTTAGTAAAATAAGTCGTATTATAGACATTTCCACTGTGGCTGCACTGAATATTTGATAAAATGGATCACTAAAAACTTTTACTTTCATAAACAAGTCACAGAGATCATTCCTAGCTACGTTTTCACTACATAACCTCCCTCTGTTCTAGAGCAATTTTAAGTTCCTTAACAACATAGGATGCAAAACTCGAGCTCACACACTTTACTTTATGCTAAAAGCCAATGGTGATTGGCGGGATTTGAACCCAGAACCTCTGGGACAGAAGCCTCGATCTCTACCACTAGAACGCTCATCACATCTTACAACACTCTCCACTCACCCGTCTATCACTAGTTTGTCAAACAGTCCCGGCTTGTCGCACACGGGACACGTCCAGGTAGGTTTGCGCTCGTTCATCTGCAGGTACAAGTTAGCGTCAAAGCACTGCAGATGTGTACAGGTCGTCGGTCTGCAAGGTATGCTCATCCTCATCTTGCCCAGTGGACACATCAGGGACACGCGCAGACTCGTAGTGGCTATCTCGTTGTCTGCGTCGTCCCGCAGCTTCTCCTTGACTGCAGCAAAACATTTAGGAATGTGTATCATCTGTCATGCTACAACCTACGTGTTTTGGCGTTTAATACTTATAAATCGACCAAAGAGGAATTTAGACACAACAATTATTTCAATAGACTTACACAACAGAAGCTTGGAAAACAAAATTATTTCTTAAACAAGATAATAGAATAAAATTTGTCTAATCATCCTTCCTTTGATAGTTATAATAAAGAAACGGACTTGCACACCCAACCATAGCTAATCGGGCATGAAACTTTCTACTAATTAATAAAACTCTGGATTAAAATTAAAATTAAATGACTGCCCTGTACCATCAAATGTTTAAAAAAAGTCTAAAACTACTCAATATCTACTTTTTGGATACTGCAAAGTAATTTGTTATTTTGATTTTTAAATTACAGTAGAGTCCCGCAAACTCGGCGTAATGTGGACTGGAAGGGTGCCGAGTTTGTGAAATGCCGGGTTATCAGGAACTAGGGTTAAGAACAAGAACAATACAATTTTTAATCTTATTAACTACTTCTTTAATTTATATTTATATTACAAGTTAGTATTAAGTCATCAGATATAGTAAAACAAATCATTTGTACGAGCTGAGAATGATTTGACTTGAGCTGGCTTGAGTCCATGTTTAACTCGGACTCAAAAAATCACTAATTTTCTGAGCCAGGTGATGGTCGAGTTATCCAGACTGCCGGGTTATCGAGTGCCGAGTTTGCGGGACTCTACTGTATTTACAATTCTTGTTACAAGGAAGAAAAAAAAATTATGTACATTTACCCTAGTTTTTAGTGCTGCAAAATTGTCCAAATGTTGTTTTAATTATCATTGTTGATACAATTCATGTATTACATGAACCATCAACCATATCTTCACATTTTATATCAATTGACTATTCCATATCTCCATATTGTAAGTTGTTCTGGAAACCAGTATTTTACTGAAAAACGCTCAAGAATAAAGGCATTTTGATTTGATATTCACTATGAGTGTCGTAATTCCTACATGCAGCTTGGCACTTACTGAGACCCGTCGTGTAGTCTGCGTGTCGTACGCCTCTGGTCTTGAGTCTGTGCAGAAGCTGCGTGGAGGTGAGTTTGCGTACGAGGTTGAGAGCGATCACATACCCCCGGCCGTACTCTGCGGCCCACGTCACGTTGATGTGGTTGGACACTGTAGGTGATATCCGCACCAGGGGAGATATATTTACAGGCCGAGGTGGCCTCTTGGGCTCTACGCCCGGCCGGTTGGTGGGAATGGGGTTCTGAAACACGGGCGACATTGTCAACAGAGCCGTAATTTGCAAGTGTCTTCAAAAATTACAATAAATTGAAATCACAGTATAACAAGAGAACTAGGATCATTCAAACACAACAGGACTAGTAAAAACAACTAGGGCCTCCACAAATTCAAATGACGTAATTTGGTAAAAAGGTTTAAAAATTGAAAAATCACACTGACATGACTGCATTGGTATTGCGTTTTAAGTCCAGAAAATAAGTGTTTTCCAGACAAGCATGGTTACCAAATTTTGGACAAGTGACTTACCATAATTTTTGCCGTACTCCCAAACTAATCTAACAATAAAAAATCCTTCAAAATCCGATATATATTTTTCCACTGACTGAAGGACTGACAAATACAGCTCATAACTTATCTTAATGGTTTTTTCATTATTATAACTATAACCCACTCACTTCCATTAGAGTATTAGACTACTTAGTAGTTAATTTAAAATAGTTAATTGTAGTAAGTTAATGTATTGTAAATTCTTTTACGTTGATAATTATTTGTTTATGAAGTATATGAGGTTTACATTAACTAAAATTAGACCAAACTATAACCAGCTGGTATCCAACAAGATTCATTACCGTACAATAATACAAAATAAGAACGAACAGCTGTGCAAGCATGCGTTGTCTATTAAAACAGAGTGCTGTGACGAAAACAAGTCCATTCAGTGTTTAAGGGCTTTATTATAGGTATTTGTAATTTTTCCGGTAAGAGTAAAAGATGTATAGGTCGAGGGTGTAACGTAGAGCACGAGGGCCTAGGGTTTTAGGATTTTTTTACAGGATAGCAGGCTTACCTGAATGGGAAAGAGTCCAAACTGGCACAGGAAATACAAAACTTTACACTGAATTGATAATTGATAATTGATTAAATACACAAAACCTTTGAATATTTCACTGTCACTGACAGCATTTTCAACTAAGGAAGAGAGAGTTTTCTTTATAGGATGTAGATGTATAAGTTGGTTTGGCTATGATGATGACAATTGCTTCTATTATTTTCAAAAAGTCTAAAACTACCTCAAGTCTATCTAAACGTTGCATTCTGGTTGCAGTCTTACTGGTTCAAACGGTTTAAAAGATAAATGTAACAAACAAGCAATACAGAATTATGAAACACTATGACTTACTGGTAAAGGACAGTTCTTTCCGTTCACTTTGACTACGATTCCTGGAGGGAAGAAGTCTTCTTGTTCACAAGAAACTTCTAGGAGACAAAACCTCATTTGGACCTGAAATCCCCAAAACAATATGTTTTTGGTCAAGATTACATTTTGTTAGGATATGTTTTTAAGGACTTTAGATGAGAGATTTAACAGCAGGCTTGCTTATAAAATTATATAGGGTAAAAAGCAAAAATAAACACATAAAAACAATTTTCTGAGCTGCCCGCTCCTTCTTCAGAAGTAGTATTTCTATGTAGGCTGTGGAAGGAGGAAGCTCCGAAAATGCTAAGTGTTATGTGCTTATTTGTGCTTTTCATCTCTTTTCATCAGTAAGAAAACTGTTGAATCCAATCAAAACCAAATACATTAAACTATGTCAATTAATGATGCCCATAAATAAACTTCAAAGTTGATAAAACATTATAATCAAAGAACCGCTTATGTAACAGTTTTACTCATGTAACATATTTCTAAACACTTAGACGAAAATTACTTGCTTCCTTTATCTGGGCTAGTTGTAGAGTAAATCAAATTCTAAATGATTATTAGGGGTGTGCGAAGCAATAAAAAATGTTCGATCCGAAGCAACAATTCAAGTTAAAAAATTTTGATTAAAATCGATGCAACTCAAATCGAAGCATTACGGCATTTTTCTATTCATACTTGTCAATAGAGTGAAGTAACAATTTATATATGTCATATGTATGTATAAACCTAATACTACATCAACAAAATTTGAATTACACAAATGTGGTAAATTTGAATTAGCCTATTGTTACTTCACTCCATTGAACACTAAGTGATCCCGGTCTAGAGCCTAGGGATACAGTAACAAAAAAATCATGTATTCTTAATCTGACGTGGTTCGACAGCATATCCTTGAATGATAAAAAGTAAGTAAATCACCCACCTGTACAGTGTATTCACTCTTAGAAGCGGTCACTTCTCTATTGTAAGCGATTTCATTGGCTTGTGATGGAGTGAGGTGAAACACAAACGACTGCTCTTGCATTCTCGCACTCCCTACAGCCACTATAAAATAAAAAGTGTTAAAATCCTCCATAAGAACAACACCCTGTCAGATTACAAAGGATTATGGGTTACTAAAGTTATCACTGACAATGCCCTGCAACTCTTGGTAAAAAAAAAAAAAAAACTTATTGAGACGATACATTTTTTAACTACAGTACACACCCAATTATCCGAGTCCCGGTTAAATGAGGTAGTAATAGGCCTAAATACTTTTTTTTAATATTTTCATTTGGAAAACAATAATTACTTTCTTGTTACAGTATAGACTCAGTAATCTGCCGATATAGGACCGTGATACTACCAGGCTAATAAAAATTGTCATCAATATTAACAATTACAATGCACAAAACAAGTCTGCAAATATCATGGGATCGGAAACCACTATTACCACGATCGTGCATGACGAAATGACGATGATGACATTTCCGTAACTGCATTAGTTGATGATAATGTCTACACTGCCGCGGGAGATGATCAGAATTTTTCCCCGGTCGCAGAAGACAACGATAATGTCCACAAGACTGTGGGAGATGTATGTTCATGATTATGACGCAATCGCTCAAGACTGCGATGACGTTTCTGGGACCGAGGGAGTCGATGTGATGTCTACACGTACGCGGGAGATAAGCAGAATTCCTTTTACAGAATTTTGCGATTGCGGAAAACCACATCCATTAAAAACAAATAACTGAAGTGGTGCAGTGCCGGATTATAGAGGGTCTACTATACTGTAGTATTTAAAAAAAAATTTTTATTAGCGAGTTGTAAAGTTAGCTATTAGAATTGTTAAATTTTAGATAATTGAGGATCTACTGTGTTTTCAAACTATACGTTCTTTTTAGTCTCACCTACTGTATTAGTAGGCCTACTGTAAAAATTAAAAACCTACGGAGAAAAAATTCCCACAGAAGCGCACTCTGAGAGTGGATTATTCAACCATTTTCTCTAAACAAAACAGTAACAGCTGGTATATATAGATGTCTACTTCAACATTTCAAAGTCATGGTTTAACATAACCACAGACGTGACACTCACTGAGCGTAGAAGGTTTGAACAGTTCCGCGATGTGGTCGTAGAACGGCAGCCGCTTGAGTTGTACGTCTGGGTGTACTGGCAGAGCGTTGGGCATGGTTCCTCTCACTGCACTCAGCGGGTCTACAATCGGTGGTGTGTGCGCCTTGTTCTGGTAGTACCCTCCGTACATAGCCGACGCTCGAGCCTGCACAGCAAAATTCAACATTTTAAAATTGGATCTGTTGGAAAACTATTAATAAGTATTTCACACCCATTAGGTCTAAAAAAAAAACTCTCTCTTCCTTTGTTGAAAATTCTGTCAGTGACAATGAATATTCTAATATTTTATGTTTATAGTGTAAAGTTTTGTGTTTATGGTGCCAGTTTTAGACTCCTTCCCATTCAAGTAAGTCTGATTTCATCACAAAAAACCTACAAACCTAATCCCTTTTGCTCTACGTAACATTGAGAAAAAATATATATATAGTTTTAATAACATGTTCTAAAACTTGTTACATAAATACATAATTGTTACCTATTCATACATTATGGCTACTGGCCTACTTATTCCTTGTATTAGGCTAGGCTTTTATTAGAAGGGACAGAATTCAACTAGCTTAACTCCAAAAATTAAGTTCCATTAGCTTGAACTCAGAAGGAGTCCTGAGGCTGATATTTATGAGTGAAAATTTAAAAACGTACGTTTTCATGTCCCTGGCCTTTTACTTCGTAGATACTGGATTTGTAGTTTATTATTATGTGTTTTAATATTTTTTGGGACGGGGGCAACATGTTACACACATTTATTTGGTTTTAAATAGGTTCTAGGTATTTTTTACGTAATTTTAAAGTCTCGAAATTCACGACCATGACGTGTCCCTAGGGTACATTTTTCAACTTTCACGCTGTTTTTAGACTAATTATTCATGCCGAAATATATAAAGCCATATTTCTATGTCATCAATGGTTATTAAACTTACAAAAAAGGAGCATATTATAATTTTATTGTCATTGCAATTTGTATTACAATCTTCCATATTCCAAGACTACCATGACAAAATAAGTCTGTCCCTCGATTTGGCGTCACGACCATTTGAGAAAAATTTTCAACTTTGGAGCACGACAGTGGCAAGCCTGGCGTCGATGGAGTCAGTTGGTTTTAGAGACTAGTTCGGGGTGTACGTCAGGATTGTAGTGCCGGTCGTTTCGAGTTGAAAGGAGGAATTACAAGATTAATAAAGGAAAGATTGTGTTTTTTGTAATTTTGGTGTGTCCATGACCGTACGTAGTCATTCGATGAAGTAGACATGGTGTTAATTTTTGTTTATAAGATATTTCAATTGCTAGATTAACCCATTGGCCTACTTCGACGGTCGCTAACCGCCGTGACGCCGCGGTCCCTAGTAATACAATGACGAGTAGCGACCGCGCACCAAGTAGTTGTCCGTTTCAATGCTAGATAGCAGCACTAATCAGGCAAACTGCTTTACCACGGCCTGTTTTTAGTTGAAATGAATTAGTATTTCAGTTTTCGGGTTGGTAGGCCTGTTTTTAGTGCGAGTAAATATTGATTTCTTGGCAACCTGTTGCTCTCAGCTTTCTGCTGTGTTTGTTTACAGAATGGCGGGTCGGGATTGTTTACGTTCGAGTGAAATAGATCGTTTTATTGATGATGATAGTTATTTGTTGAGTGAAATTGATAGTGAAACGAATGAAGATGTCAATGAACGAATGTTTGAAAGTGAGAATGAAAGTGAGAACGATAGTGAGACGGAATCTGACGAAAACGAAGAGGCTGTTGACGAACCTGACGATCTACCGGTGGATTTGGTTCTTGAAACCATTGAAAATGTTGTTCGTGGAGATGGCAATATACCAATGGACTCTATTGAGGAAATTATTGAAAAGGTGGTAAGTGGAGAAATTGGTTTTTTAGAGGAGCCTATGGCGTGGGAAGATGCTCCCAATGAGCCAAAAAATATTGTATTTTACGGTGACAAAGTAGGAGTAAATATTGCACAATCGCAGCTCCTAGATTCAGAGTTAGATGTTTTTTCTGAGTATCTAGGCGATGATTTCTTTGAGCGGATTGCCATAGAGACAAATAATTATGCTGCAAAATGTTTTGCAGATCCAAACCGGAAAAAACTAAAAGATGATTCTAATTGGTTTGACTGTGAGACTGATGAAATAAAGGCATTTTTTTCCTTATTTATTCTAATGAGTGTGGTAAAAAAGCCAACTTTGCAGTCTTATTGGAGCAAAAGGAAAGTAATTGAAACTCAGATATTTTCTGAAATAATGCCGTTTCGAAGATTTCAAATGATCATGCGTTTTATTCATTTTTCAAATGAAGCAACTAGTCGGCCTACTGATAAACTGAAAAAAATCAGACCTGTAATTGACTACATGTCAAACAAGTTTTTACAAAACTACACCCCGGACAGAGATATCTCTGTAGACGAGAGTTTGATGAAATTCAGAGGCAGACTCTCTTACATACAATTCAACAGAAGTAAGAGGGCTAGGTTTGGTATAAAAATTTACAAACTATGTGAGTCATCAACAGGCTATTGCTCTGCCTTTGAAATTTATACGGGCAAAAAGAGTCTTCCCAAGGGTCAACTAGTTAGTGAACAGATAGTTTTGCAACTCACAGAGCCGTTTTTAGATAAAGGCTACATAATGCATATCGATAATTGGTATTCATCACCAAGATTGTTTGTGAACCTGCTTGAACGGAACACATACGCAATTGGTACCGTGAGACCCAATAGAAAGAATATGCCAGGTGATATGAAGGAGCCCTTGGAAAAAGGAGAAGCACAGCGTAGAAGTGCGGAAGGTCTCCTTGTGGTTAGGTGGATGGACCGGAAGGCTGTGAACACGATTAGCTCCAAACATTCTGACATCGACTTTACGTCAACAGGGAAAATGTCAAGGCCTACAAGGGACAAACCTGCTACTACAATCATGAAACCTAAGCAGATTATTGAATACAATCAGGGCATGCTTGCAGTTGACCGCCAGGACCAAGTATTGTCTTACAACCCAGTGATGAGAAGGTATGTGAAGGGTTATGTGAAGATTTTTTTCTACCTTTTTGAGGTTTCTATGTTCAACTCTTTTGTAGTTTACAAAAAGCTATCTGGCAAAAGTAAGCAGCACTTCTCTGAGTACAAAACAAATCTGGCTGAACAAATCACTCAATCAATCCGGCTACGACCGAGGACATCACCTGGAAGACCATCGACAAGTAACCCAATGCGACTCCAGGGACGACTTCATTTCCCAATGACCATACCAGCTACACCTTCCAAACCGATGCCAACTAAAAGGTGCCTTGTATGTTCCTCAAAAGGGCTCAGAAGAGAAGTGAGGATCCAGTGCAGCAAGTGTGTGATGCCGCTTCACATCGACGGCTGCTTTGAGGCATACCACACCTTAGTGAACTACTAAGAGTTGAGGGACAAGTGTAAATAGTGTATATAGTGTAGTTGTAAAAAGCAATCATGCCCAGTCAAAAGAAATTTAGTTAGGTATATTGTTTGTGAAGTGTGAAGAGACCTAACTTACATGAAATTTATGAAGTGAAGGCCTACATATTGGATAATATTATAAAGGTACGTGTTTTCCATTTATTATTTTTATTATATTTATTATTTTACCAGGCCCGCATTTAGCCTATTATTATAAGTATCCTTATTTTGAAATGGTAAACTTCTAAGGTGATCTTTTCTATGTGGTGTCTAGGTAGGCCTAACCGAAGCCTAAGTTACAGACTGCGCTAAGTCCATAACGTCTTGTTACTATTTAATTTTTTGAGGACTTATTTATCTTATGTAAAATTATAACAAAACAAATTCTTATTTGTAACTAAATACTAAATGATAAAAAAATAAAAAAAAAATAAAAAAAAATAAATTGATGATTTAATTACTAATTAATTAATTAATTAATTAATTAATTATAATTAAATTTTAAAAAAAAAATTTAAAAAAATCTAATTTTTATATTTTGATATTAGCTTGACATGTTTCCAAAGTTTGAAAGAATTCTGATGCAAAATAAGAGAGATATAAGTGTTAATGCAAAAGCCTGCAAAGTCCTAGAAATTAATAGGATTTCCAAGGGTTCAACAGGGCCTATAATATGCGTAGGCCAATGGGTTAACCTAGAAGTCCACTTTGTATCCTCAAACATGAGGTGCAGGGCTACCGCCAGAACAGAGCCAAATAACACGTAATTTCACGACCAAAGTTTCACAACCATCGCGGGTTTTTTCACGACCAATCCAGCTTTGTGGATTATAGTGTGTTTGGTCGTGACAAAAACTTTAATATAATTGTAATTTGAACAGTTTAGTTCAATTTAAACACTTATTTTTATTATAACTAACAGTATAATTGAAGTATTGTTTAGAAAGATTTAGATTATTTCAGAAAATTCACGACCGTACCGCTTGTCCCTGACCATCACGTTTATGATTTCTATCATACAAATTTCAAAAATTAAAATATCGTCATATTTCAATGTTTTATACACAATAGAAGCACACCTCTATACAAACATAACGATTTTTCGGGTCTCAGGTAAGTCTTTTCGAAGTTATACAAACTTAAAACAATTTTATTGGCTTTTTTTCAATTTTTTGAGTTTTTTATTTTTTTCTAGAAAGACCAAATATACCAAAAGCTCAGTAACCTTTTTATTGTATAATGGTCATAAAAGTAAATTAGTTTATAGCGAAACATAGTTATAAAAATAATATTAACTATTTTTAATATTCATTTAAACGTCTGTTATGGTCGTGACAGGATTTTGTGTTTTTCCACTAAAGATGCTCTTTAAAAAAAAAATACCAAAGATATTGCGTTACCATGGACATTTTATAAAACTTCAAATGTTAATAAAATAAAAATAATAATAAAAGTTTTGAAAAAAGGGGAAAAAAATTTGCAAAGTGCTTTTCCTGAAAACGTACGTTTTTAAATTTTCACTCTTACGCAATAAAATGCCACAAAACATACAATGATTTTTTACTAGATCTTTTCAAAAAGAAGCTTTAAGAGTCCTTGGAGGCTGGCGGCCAACTTGTATGATTTCAAACAGCTGCTGAAGAGCTATTTGTTGTAGAGCTATTGCTACTATAAACTGTAGGTAGTTGCCATTAGCTGTATGGGCTATTAATTAACAGCTGTGTCTAAGGAATGTCGGCCTTAGTCACTAACAAGACTACAAGATCACACCACTCATCCTACACTCATCTCCATTCATACTTGGCTTAAAATACGTCTACTTTGTATGGTCGCCATTTCATAGAACAGTATTAACAGTACTAACAGTATTTACCATCCCAAAATATTTTTTCAAATCCTCATGTACTCAAAGAAGTAGCTTACTTTTACCAGTAATGATATGTCAAATTTGATTAAGATATCTCTTTTCATTATAAAGTTGTCTTAGAAAAATCACCCTGTATAATGAAAAATAACTGACATGGGTTTAACAACCGCAACAATAGCCTACAAACAGTTAGACAATTTGTTTGATGTTGTTAAAACACATTAGACGTTAAATTTAGGGTTGTATAAAATCAACACCGGTATACCACACCTGCTGAGCTTGGTACTGTTGGGGATAGCCGGCCGGCGCCGAGTTGGGTGCACAGCTCATCATGTTGTTCTTCTGCACCATCTGCTGGTGCTGCATCATCTGAGCAGCCTGGGCCGCCGAGGGTGATGTGGCGCCTACACCTTCCCCGGCCACCACTCCTTGCCTGCCACAAAACATTTACTGTACAGCGTCAATTATCCGAAGCCCGGTCATCCAAAATGTAGAAAGATACAAAATAGTGTAAACTTAATTGCGTCCTACAAGTTCAGCAAGCGATTATTCAAGAAAAGATCTGCTATGGCTGTGGGCACCATTTTCACTCACTTGCACTTGCTTGTGGGTTTTTGGCAACAACTGATCGTACTCTATTCTGTGTTATTTTATTCTAACCGACAATGTTATGGAAACGTAAAGGTCCATTTCCTATCCTGCGACTGTTACGACTCTAGCCGCGCGTCTAGAGCCGTACGGCTGGAGATGCTTGTCTCAATTCCTATGCCGCAACTCCTACAACTCCCACGACTAGTGACTAGTGAAATTGCACTACTGACCGTCATGGAATAAGCACAGTTGGCAGTGAATATATTACTTGGAGAAAAGGAGGAAAAGGAATTATTAATGTGCATGGTAAAAAACAATGAACAACCTAATCCATTGTTCATGGTACGGTGACAAGAGGGGTTTCAGAGTATTCTTATTCAGAGACATCTTCTTCAAGTATTGGGGGTGAACGTATGGATGATGACGAACCAGTTCCATCAACTTTGAATCATCTATGAAGGTACACACCTCAAAATTTGTATGTAAAAACTATAAATTCGTTACAGCCACGCGATAGGAAACGGTTGCATTTACTTTCTATTAAAGCAGTCAATTTTTTCAGCCGCGCGACTAGAGTCGTAACAGTCCCAGGATAGGAAATGGACCTTAAGAGTATAGCGGTTAGCGTTTATTTAAAAAAACTGAGGATATTGGAGTAAAAAAAAACACTTTAATGAAGCTAAGGACCAAGTAAATTTTGACTCCAGTTTTACCATACTTCTTGGCTGGTACTTCTGGTGGCCAAAAGAATGGGATATACGTAAGGACGCGATCAAGGTACACCTGTCATCTTGTATTTACAAAAATGCTCGTACTAAATTAAATTGTAAACTGGTTTTGAGTAAATAAATTAATTGAAATTTAAGTTAAAGGTTCTTGTCATTCTCTTGGGTCTGATGATGATTGGAGTGTCCAATCGAAATTTATCACCATTTATTATCTGTTATATAAATTTACTGTCTTGTGAGTCAACAGTACAGTATAAGTGTTGGTGTGTGTGTGTGTGTGTGTGTGTGTGTGTGTGTGTGTATAAGTGTTTCTAGTGTTATTAGTCATATCTTTTGTTTGCTTTCCTTTTAATCGACTACTGAATAGAAAAGTTGGGTATTTTAAACAAACATAGGAAAGTTAATACCTACAGTTTTCATTCACAAGTCATGTTTTGGTAAACTATTTCAGCGAATGATATAGAACAAATAAACATAAAACATAGCTGGCTGCATAAAATTTGAAAAGTGAAATAAATTCTAATCGCAACAGCACACAACAGGTAAACTTTTACGTGGAGCCGAAGAGAAAACTCAACAATGACTTCAGTTATTTCTAAAACTAAAGAGCTACTAGTGGATAAAAGATCATATCTAAAAGTGTGCCTTTTCTAGATCATATTATATCACACTTGAATATTAAGGGCAATTAAAACATGCAGAGCTTCAAGAAATATTTGTTCTGTATGCATCATAAAAATAAATAAATATTTCAATCTTTTCACGTCATTCAAATTGTATTTTACTGACAAAATTGTTACATGGAAATGTAAAAAATTTTACAACGGAACCATCATCAATTCTTGGCTAAAAACAACTTGGACTTCAACATTAGCCTATATCTTTATCGTTCACAAAAACATTACATTTTGGATTGAGAATGTTTAATTAATTTTCAAGTCATAAATAAACTCTAGGTCGCTAAAATTAGAAACTTTGCTCTACATTAACTAGTCAGTTAATTTTAGTTACCTCAGATCGAAGTAACTTGTCCAAGAATTGATTATGGCAACTTATACTCAAATTCTGGGGCAAACAACCAAATAAAATGAGAAAAATCCAAAGTTTACTGATAGCGATAAATAATTTTTTGATTGCAGAAACATACAGCATAAAATAAATAAAAATCTAACGTAAAACTACACTAAAAGCAAACTTAACCAAAACTTATATTAACTTGGCCAAATTCGGGAATTTAAAAGGGGTGTAGGAAAAAAGGCCTATAGTCTGCATCAAAAACGGAAAAACAAAAAGTTTCTGAATCATGCAGACTTACTGGATGGACTTGTACAGTTCCCTTATCTTCATCTGAATCGGGGCAGATTTGAGACTGAGCAGCCCCATCGCTCGGTTCTGCAGCTCATTCTTGCGGCCGGATTTGTTGCGGCCGGCAAATCCTAAGAGCATCTGCAGCTCGGACACCCTAAACGTCATCAGCATATTCTGCAACACCAGCAACGCACTTGCACTCGTCCGTCCACCCCCAACATTGTACACGGACTCAATGAAATGTATAAGCATTGTAAACCAGTTCACTAGGCCTACTGAGTGCCTACACCTTCAAAATATGTATACATGAATGTTCAACTATGTACTTCATATGCAAAATTTTCAAAGTGTATGCAGATCGTCCTACTTGTTGTCTACATTCCCTACCAGGTGACATTCGAGTATCTCAAGTTATACGACAGCCGGTAGCGAATGTGATGGTGTAGCTGAAAATAATTAGTGTACAATAATGAGAATAAAAATGCAAAGTATTCATTTTGGTGAACGAATGTGAATAGAAGTTTATTGTAATTGATTGTGTGGGAAGGAGAAAAAGGAACTGGTTAGATATTCCAATGAAACACGAACCTAACAATATGTGTAGCCTATTGTAAGGAAATGTATTGAAAAGCGACAACAATCAGCGTAAACAAATTTGCAAAGACTGTTAGAACTAACAAAAAATAGACCAAGACCAACTGCTCCTAGGGCTAAACAGTTATACATGTTAAAAATCTTTACATAATCTTCACAACTCTGAGATAAATTAAGGACAAACGCTGGAACAGGTATAAGTTGAACGTGTTCTACATCATAAAATATTTCATGGCGAGTTGGCAATTGATTGAAAATTGAATGGATATTTTTAAAAGATGTGTATAGTAGAGTTTTAATCACCCTAAGTGGGAGTATGGTACATCAGGACGATTCACAGGAAAACCTTCTGTAAAGGACAGTGGATTTTACATTTGGGATCTATTGGTAAAATAATTTGGCCAAGTTAATATAATTCCCCCATGCTATCCAAAATGTTTGTTAGATCTTCTTACCTTCGGCCTCGTCTACTAGGCCTAGGGAAAAGTATCCACTGAAACAAGTAGAACACAAACTGAAACTAAAACGTCAAATAAATAAAAAGAATGCTAAACATATACGTGTATTACTAAATACAGCAGAACTTCATTAATCCAACTTAGGATAATCCACCGGCGATTACAAAAAACACTAGGGATTGCTCTTCTACATTGAACAGTGAATAATCATAAGTTTTGTGAATTAATGAATAGTAAGGTTCTTTACAAAAATCAGTAGGTTGCCAGTTTTATCCCAAAAAAGGTCAGAAGCTTGGTTCAAAACTGATTCCAGCTGTCCTTGGTCATCGGGCTTTCTATAACTGATCTTGGTTTAAGAAACAGCTGGTCTTAGTCAGTAAAAAAGCTATACTAGGCATCTAATTTATTATTTTTATCCTTCACTTTATGTGTAAAAGAAAAAACAACTAAGCCTAAGTGGCAATCATTGTATTAGACAGGTGTAGAGAAGTTTTAAAATTGGTTTCAATGAGAATATCCAGACATACAAATAAAACCTATGACACCAAATTTTGCAGAACACCTATTACATTCATTTCAAGAATATTTAACCAATTATTAAAAGCAAAAAAGATAACTTACAGACAAATAAATTTTGTGAAAGAAGAATTTAATACAGTAGAGTTTTGCTACACTGCCATTGGCGACATCATCTCTTGTCTCTAAGAAATGTAAGGCAAAATCTTTAGCGCTCAAAGCGATATCAATAGCCATGCTGACGTCCACAAAATCATCAGTCGAACCTTATGGTCTCAACGTGATTGCTAACATTGCCAATAAGACATCGTTTTTTTCTAACTTTGGCAAGATTGCTAGCTTCGGCGAAATTAGGAGTGGCATCGCTAGCTTCATACCAACTCATTTAACTGATTGAATAATCTCCATACTTTGATTCCGAATAAGGGAATTTTTAATGAGGTTAGAAATAGCATGACTCTACTATATTCATACACTGTAAGAATAGGCAATAGGACTAGGCCTACATCAAATGCAGCATGTTGAAGATGTGTCTGCCAAATTAAGGACGTAAAATACAGAATTGAGGAAAATTAAAATTATCATAGGCCTAGTATATCTAAGATAAAAGAAACCAAAATTGTGTAGCAAGTTGATAAACCTACTTAAAATATCTGTTTTTGTTTGATCATTTAGGCCACCAATTGCAACTTAGGTTTATTTAATTTTTTTGAAAATTGCCTTCTTTTTAGATGTAAGTTTTTACTAAGTAGTTGAATAAAAGAAAATTAAATAGTATAAAATAGTAGTAAAATAGTATAGTAGGCCTACAATTTGTTCCATTCTTGTGGAAATAAACTCAATTTGATTCAATACGGTACTCAAATCAATTCTACAGACTAGTTAGATTTTTATCTTGTTTTTAGTTTCTACAAAACTAATTCTACAAATTAAAGTTACCCTCAGATCGTCTGATCCTGCCATTGTTGATTGGCACAGAAGTGGTCGTTTTGCTTGCTTGTGTAGTGATTCCCCTGACTGTGCCAGGATGTTTATCTAAGAACTCTCTAGTAGAAAAAAGTCTGTGCCAACTTCAATTTTCACTTTCTTTGTGGGAAACAGCCAACTTATTTTTTGTTGACATCTTTCTGAGCCTGAAAAAAGTAAAATTTTGGTGAGCATAAACATAAATTAACTGCTTTATGTAGATAAAATAAAAATTGTATACAGTAGAACCTCGCTAATTTAAATTTCAGAGGAAAGATAATATATTTTGAATTATAGGCTAGGAAGATTTAAATATAGGGAGTTTGAATTATAGAGGTCAGAATAAATCAATTTCAAATTAAGGAGGTCTCAGTTTTAAGTGTAGAGAGTTTGAGAGAACGGAGACTAATGAACACATTGTGGGAACATCAATAAGAGAATCAGCTCATGTTTAAACAGGCGTATTTTTGGTTCTAAATTCGAATTACAGAGGCTTACGGAAATGCAGTTCGAATTCTAGAGGTTGACTTCAAATTTTGGAGGTGACAATTCGAATTATGGCAACAAAATTTGAATTGTAGAGGCTTCAAGTATGTACAAATTCAAATTGTAGAGGCTGCATTAAGCGTAAAAATCACTTTGAATTATCAGTATATTATTTTTTAAATTTTAGAGGTTTTCTGAGGGGAACAGACAAACAATTCTAATTATAGAGGGTTTTGAATTATCGAGGTTCGAATTAGCGAGGTTCTACTGTACCATGATTGATCAAGCTATAAGTTACAGTAGGGTAGGCTACACCTACTAATTATTTATAGCAACTTCTATCACACAACTTACAAAAAAACAATACACAGATACAAAAATTAGCAAAACAACTATGACACACTATACTGTAGCAATAAAAATAATTATTAAATTTCTGCCTGAAGAATAGCTTTCAAGACTTGACAAGAAGTCACTAAGCCGAACAACTTTGGAGCGTAATAGAAAACAATTCTTCTCCTGTCAAACCAATTTTTGGAGAGTGCAGCAGGCTTACAGTGACTGGTATTCCGGTATTGTTTACTTTTCTCTAAGACCCACACTAAGAAGAAATTAGTCATAATGTACGGTCGTGGCTTTAAGATCAAGATACAGGCCCCATGCATCTCCAATAGCCTGAACGTAGCATTCACTACATTCAAGTATCAATCATGATGATCAATTGAAATGTAGTGACATGCTATGATGCAATGCAAACTAGGCCTAGGCCCTAGCCGGGTACACTTCCGTATCTGTTGCACAACCGAATGAAAATATTGATCGATATATCTTACGGTATATATGATATATGGTTTGGTTAGTTAGGTAAGGTTAACCTAACCTAACTAACCCAACGATAAGTTATGTCAAATTAAACAATCGAATAATCAGTATGTTCATTCGGTTGTTTGTGCCTTAACAGATACGGAAGTCTACCCCCTAGCCTAGCAATGGTCCCAACAGAAATTAACATGAAAGGATATTTACCTACAGGACTTAGGCCCCCTAACCTTTGACATGATGAAGCGCACTTATCATCAACACAATTATATCAGTATATCACCTTATATCAGTATTAAATGTCTATGTAATTATAAGGTATCCCATTTCACTGCATTATTTATTTATCATCGTTCCTAGCTCTATCATACGTCCATCACATGTACTGTTTTTTTATTGTTTTGTCTTGTTACCACAGTATTATTTATCACTCTATAAGTTATGTCATTTATATTTATTGTTGTATTTCCTATGTTAATCTCACTTGTATCTGTTATGTAGGCCTACATATATTTCTTAGTCTTAAACTTTTTACTATTTAATTACCGTATGTCTTGTTTTATTTATGTCTTGTTACTCCTAGGTACAAGTAGTTTTTTTTACTGTCTTAGATTTTGCTTGTGTCCCTATTGTAGTAGCCAATTGTTCATCAGTTTTGCATTGTTACTTAGTTTTAGTATTTAGTCATGATGAGTATCTCACTATATTGTAATTCTTATTGTAAATTGGTGAAATCCGTTGGCAATAAATAAATAAAAAATAAACTAAGCTTCATGGGTACTGGACCCAGATGCCATTTCTCATTGAGCTAGGTTAACCCTAGCAGTGGCCAATGTTAGAAGTGGGGAATGGCCAACCCATTTGGGCGATATTGCAGACCTCTTTTATTTACGGTATTTATTTATTTTATTTTGTATACAGCAAACACCATTTTACATTTAACATTGCAATTATATACTACACATGGCCAAAAAAAGATTACATAATAATACATGCGACCATCACAACTATCTCCTATACCTACACTCTGAAATTAACAAAACAAAGTTGAGAAAAAAATATATGATAAATATCACAGCAAGTGGCTTTTTGAAAATTCGTAAAAATTCAACCGTACCGTACAAGTAAACCTAGCCAACCTCATATTCATTTTGTTCGGAAAGAACAGGAGAATCTAGAAATAATAATATAATAATGATTAAGATAAAGTATTTTTTTGGTAAAGTGAAAAAAAAATTTAGTTTTTTTTTAATTTCAAAAGCGGCCTTGGTATTTTTTTTCTATGGATTTTTTATGGGAAATTCATTATATAGGTACATTTTGTAGACAATCTAATTCACTAAGTACATAGAGAAATATAGGCCTAACATGTTAGGAAAATATTTTTTTTATAAGTTTTTGGGGCAAAATATAATAACAAACAGAGAACCGAAAAAATTGAAAGCTGTACAGTGTTAGTTTGTGTTGTAAAAAGTTATATAATAGGTATATGTGTAGCCTACCGGACTAATAATGATATATACATGTTTGTAAAGCTAATGAAGTAAGGAATCAAAAAAGTCATAAAGTTTATGGTAAAAATATTTTGTATTTATAAATAAAATAATGTTTTTGTATTTTAGCGATTTTGTGAGAAAAAAAATCATAGTACAGGGAGCGGCAGAAATATCTGACGGTTTTCAAGCGAGTACAGTCCGGCAGCCGAGTGGAGGAGGGTGGTGGGGAGCGGCTCATTCTCAAGGCCAAGTGACCCCATTTCAGTCGCCATGGTGCAGTGGACCGGTATACATTGCGCGTTTGTCGTTGAGGAGTATTTTAAAAGTGGCGATTCTGTTGGTTGATGCGCAACGTAAGTTTCGTGCATTTTAATGTGGTTCGCGGGGAGCCTATCCCATCCCCAAACACCATCAAATTGTGGGTGGATACCCTTAGATCCACAGGATCAACTATTCGACCAATAGCCTACCTAAAATTCTGTTTGTTTACATAGCCATCTAGGTGAAAATGGGCCTCATCACTCATTACAAGAATTTTTTCGTCATCCATCAAATCAATCATTTGCTCTGAAAATGTTTGACGATTAGCGAGGTCGTGAGGCTGAAGTTTTTGAACGATTCCTATTTTATATGGGTAAAAGTGAAGGTCTGAGTGCAAAATTCGTCGAATAGAGCGATCAGACATGCCAAGAGCAGCAGCTTGTCTACGTGCCGGGCCATGCGGGCTCGTTAGCACAGCTTGTCGCACTCGCTCCACGTTCTCCGGCGTTCTCACTGACCTTGGACGGCCTGTAGGCCTACCTTTTGCAGTTAATCCTGTGAATCTAAAGGTATCCACCCACAATTTGATGGTGTTTCGGGATGGGATAGGTTCCCCACGAGCCACATTAAAAAGCCTAGGCCTACGAAACTTAGGTTGCGTATCAACAACAGAATCGCCACTTTTAAAATACGCCTCAACAACAAACGCGCGATGTACACCGGTCCACTGCTCCATGGCGACTGAAATGGGGTCACTTGGCCTTGAGAATGAGCCGCTCCCCACCACCCTCCTCCACTCGGCTGCCGGACTGTACTTGCTTGAAAACCGTCAGATATTTCTCCCACTCCCTGTATTTAGTATAAAACTTTTGTACCAAATGTTTTTACTTCAAACCAACATAAACATCTTGTAGTGTATTCAATTACCTACATAAAAATGTAAGCCTATAACATGTTGAGTAAAAATTTTTGTTTTTACGTGCTAGGGGCATAATAGCCTAATATAAATAAACGGAAAACCTCAAAATACAACCAAAACCTTTTAAAAACACAATTTGACACTATTCAGTAAATATTTATGCATAATAAAATACATGAAGATTAGGCCTACTGTTATATACACATAGGCCTACACATTTCTAAAAAAATACGAAATAATAACGAATTTAGTAATCAATCGCGGATAAAACGAGAGCGAAAACTCACCAGCAACAACAGGCAATGGCGAATACAAGGCACTTTGTGTATGAGATCTTGACAGTAGTGACACACTTTCGTCGTCTTAGTAAGAGAAACCGAAAATAACCCTGAGCGCAGGGCTGCCACTATCACAAGCTACATTTCTTCCTTTTCAAAATGACATATTATATGACTAGTAGGCTACCTAATAATAACTTACACTGTATGTAATTTGTATTTTCCATACAGTCACCTGACGACAGTTGGCCATTTGTTATAAATTTCGAAAACAGCTGTTTTCATAAAATCGTACCGGTTGTCCAATCAATATTTAGTTCTAAAATCACTACCACAATGAAGATAAAATCAATGCCAGTGGTACCACCCGCAACATCCCAAGACGAAAATTACCCGAGCAGGGTAATGCCAAACAAGACGTGTTTTGCCACTTCCCAAGGGTCGGCTGCCAAAGTCGTACCGCGCCAAAAATTTATTTGATTTCTAATCATCGTAACATTGTTAGCCTATATATACCTGCTACAGGGTTTGTTTATGTAATAAAACGAATGTTCAGAATGTGATCTTTCGAATGGTATATATTATTCTCATCTGAGTTGATTATAACCGTTTTTTTTTACCGTTAAAAAAATTTCGGCCCATACCGTCACCAGACGACGGCTGGCCATTCTAAGCATCAACGTCAAACCGTCACCATACGACGGTTGGCCACTGCTAGGGTTAATCAATTGCAAAAGACGCTAAGTTATCTAACATAAGTTCAACATTAGGCCTAAGCCTAGGCCTAAAAATTTACCTAGTTTATTGACAAAAAATTACACAAAACAAAACTAGGCCTAGCTTATTAAGTTATATGATCGTGGTGAACAGGAATGCTCTGGAAAATGTTGCAGACTGAATTGCCACTGCGAATGCATTAGGCCTAGTAGGGTAACTGATGTCAAATAGGCTAGGCTAACGCTTTTCAACTGTAATACTACAAAAGTAAACTTTAAGCCTACTAACCGTCAGCTTCACCCTCTGCTTTCTTAGAAAAGCTTGTTCTTATTCAAAATTATTTACAAATCAATTTTAGATATTCCGTTTACAATTATTGAAAACTAACTTAATGCCTGAAATTCCAAACTACATAAGTTACTTAACAAACTGTAAAATAAGTTAATGGTCCAAGTTATTTACTTACATGTTTGTTTTTTTTGTTTTTTTTTTTTTCTTCTTAATGCCTTTGGCTGACTTGGTATTTTAACACCATGTAGTCAATTGTACACAAACTTATGAATTTAGTATCCTTTTATCGTCTTGTGGTTGCCTGGGTTAATAGTTTTTCACATTTATCTGTAACAAACATATAGATTTTTGTTAGTCACTAATGACATTTATGTTTTGTTTTGTTTTTGAGTTTTAGTTAGTATGTATACTTTAAAGAAGGATAATTCTAAGGGTGAGGATATTCAAGGATATAGGGTTTGGATTTGAGATGCTCTTCTCGGCCAGGGGTCCGTCAGGCCTAACCTAACCCGAAAGGGAGGGGGATCTTTTAATGAATCTTTTAATGAAGTCTATCTTATTGTGGTGGTTTTTAATTATTTTTCCTATGGCAAATGGGTTGATTTTATCACCACTTTTGCTCTGAATAATTACTTCAAATGGACCTTGGTGGTGATCCGAATACAGCCTTATTCGTCTTATGTTAGCCCGTTTCGAGTTGTTACTTGGGTTTTTATCAGTATTATCAGATAATTCATTTGTTTCATCACTCAGTTTCCTTTTGTGTGTATTGCTAGTAGTTGGTGTGGTTTGATCATTATCTATGCCTATTTCTATTTCATTGTCATATTTAATACCTAACTCATCTAGGCCTGCACTTGTATTTGTTACTATTATTGAAGCAACTGATGCTTCAGTTTCCATGTTTGTTATTTGATTACTTTTATTCGTATATCCAGCACTACCATCCTCAAGTGAGGAGGCTGAACCTGACACTGGCATTATGCCAGGCCCAGCCTAAAAACTTTGCTTATTGTTTACTGTATATTGTATGTGTCGAATGTGTGATTAAATATATACAAATACTTAAGGTTAAGGTATGGTTATGGTTACAGTATAACACTTACCAATTTATAACATCTAAGGTTAGTGGTAATCACATGGGTATTAACATTCACAATAGGTTATGTTTGGCAACCACAAGTAAAATCAATATCCACGCTAATCTCACGAAATCTCAGAAAGGAATGAGTGTGGAATGGAGGGAGATGAACAGAATGAACAGGAATGCTCTGGAAAATGTTGCAGACTGGATTGCCACTGCGAATGCATTAGGCCTAGTAGGGTAACTGATGTCAAATAGGCTAGGCTAACGCTTTTCAACTGTAATACTACAAAAGTAAACTTTAGGCCTACTAACCGTCAGCTTCACCATAGATAAAACATACTCCTTCACCCTCTGCTTTCTTAGAAAAGCTTGTTCTTATTCAAAATTATTTACAAATCAATTTTAGATATTCCGTTTACAATTATTGAAAACTAACTTAATGCCTGAAATTCCAAACTACATAAGTTACTTAACAAACTGTAAAATAAGTTAATGGTCCAAGTTATTTACTTACATGTTTGTTGCTGCCATGCCAGAAGATTCGTATTGATCACATTCACAAACACTTATTATTTTCGCTAGCAGCAACAGCTTTAGCTAGCCTAGCACAATTTGTCATCTTTTACAACTAAATAAAAAATTATATACTGTACTGGTAATAGTAATTAAGTTAATAATTAGTAAATAAATAACTTGGTACCGAACCGAAACGAATGATACTTTGTAGTCGTACGTTACCGTTACGTGCTTCTATCTAACTAACTTAACTTTTCTATTCTACTCTACTAGGAGAAGAGAAAAATAAGAAATGAAGCAGATTGAGATTAGATTGAAGAAGGGGTCTGACTTAGGGGAGGTACAAATGAGGCATTTAGTTCAAAATTCCTCCGTGAACAGCGCTGTAGTAGAGAGCCCTTTGGCAATGAAGGTTTACTAATCGCAAAAATAGTTCTGCTCATAAAATAAAATTATAAATGCCTCAAATTCAATTTTACTATTTTTTTATTATAAAATTAAACTATCATAACCTAACCGAACTAACCAAACTTGTTGATAAAGAAATAATATAACAAGAGTTTAGTAGTCGGAAAAATAATTCTGTTTATTAAATAAAACTAGAAATTGTTCAATTAAAATTTTATAGTGACTTAATGATTCGCCGATGGCTATCGAAAGTTTTGTTACGGTAATGGCGTTCCCTCAGCTAATAAGAAGCCCTCAGCTGTCATCGTAGCCTCTTCTATACCTCCCCTGAGTAAATACCTTGAAGAAGGAGGATTCAAGACGAATATAATAGACCAATAGATTCGATTGGTTGATTACGGACTGATTGTGGTGTTTGTGTGTGATAGTGATTGGTTGACTTTGTCTTTACAATCCATAACGAACCCAAACTTTTCATTCTATTTTCACAGCTAGCGACAGAGCAAAGTATGTAAAAAGGAGTAAGGACAAAAATCCATTGATTATAAGAGGAGGTGTTATATCTCTGAACTATAACTATAACAATAGTTATAAAGTGGTTATAGCGCATTGTGGTACCTAATTTTTTTAAGTGTAGAAAATAAATGGTATGATTATAGAGATTAATTACATATTGATGCAGAGTATACAGTGATGCAGACAGTGTTTTTTATTTTTATTTTTTTATTAGTGTAGCATGTTTTACTATTGTACTTATGACAAGATCGATTGCATGTAATTTTGCCAAAAGATCAATAAATGTCTTATGTCCTATGTTGCAGAGTATACACCATTGACCAATGAATACAGATGATAAACAGAGTGTCCATTAAAAACGTGTCAAGACTTTGGGGTAAGCATCCTCATGCTAAAAGGAAGAAAAAAAGTGTAATTGAAGGTATGTCTGAAAATGCATATACCCAGATATCCACCATTCTGTGTTCTATACAAAAATATTTGTATCTGTGAAGTTTTTCAACCCATGATTATGATACTTTAGTAAGCATTTTAACGTAAACAAGACAAGAAATTTGCGTATAATGGACAAATATTAAAGTTGGTCCGAGTACGAATTTCAAAGTGGCGACAGTTTAAATTTTATTTCTTAAATAACTAAAAAAAATGATAATTTTATAAAATAATGTCAAATATACTTCTTAGCATTTTAAAATCCCTATCAAGCGACACCAAGATAAAAAAGATCGGACGAAAAATAACTGAAAAATAACATTTTTGGTGTAAAAATAAGGCCCTTAATTTTACCTGACTTTACAACTAAAATACCCTTGCTACAGCAAACCTGCAGACTAAGTGAATTTCCATTTACCTGCCTGGATTTCCACTGAAATATTCCCTGAAAATTGTCAGATTTATTTCTTATTTACATAACGTTAATTTTAATGAGTACCTAGGTTTGCTGATACAGAGAGAAGGTGTGTTTTTTATTGAAATGTTGATAGCTTAGTATGAAAAAAATTGCCAACTTTGATCAAAATATAACCATAAACAAGCAAACTACAAGCAAGCAACGCTCTCGATTACTACTGTAGACCGATCGCTTCCACAGCGTTAGTGTACTGCCACGGCCACATTTAACTACAGGCCACGGCCTGGGGCCCATTTCATAATAAAGTACAAACTAATATTATTAGTAAATCAGCTGATCGCCCAATGCAAATCTAATGGAAATTACAAGTTACAAGTTGTAACTTGTAACTTGTAGTTTATTATGAAATGGGCCCCTGATAGAATTGGCAACGTCGCAAGTGGTGTTGTTTAGTGACATACGTCCCACAAGATAACGTGGTAGACAGGTGACATCAACTCATTAATTCGCACTTTATTAATTTAAATTTAAATTTATAAATATAAATTGATTAAAATATTGAAATAAAACATAGGCCTACTGAATTGAAAACCGAAACAATATGAATTAAAAATCTATATCTGTACATTTCCACGCGGAGTCAATATTGCCATAGTCCATTAATCAATATTTCGTAAATACACAAATCTGCTTCCAAACAAAACAGCTACCACTCAAACCACTTGCGATGTTGCCACTTCGAAGGCCGCGGCCTGGAGTTAAAGGCGGCCGTGGTACTGCACTGCTACTGCTAGCAAACGGTATTAATGTCACAAAAATATGCATAGGGCGTATTCTTGATTACTTTACTTTTTTGTTCTGCGTTTAAATTGGGTTTAGTTTTTCAAAGATATTTGAATTAATACAGCATATCAATACATCAACGTTTAAAATAATGCTTGTGCTAATATTGGGTCGCTGTCAACGCGCCACCACGTCAAACCGCCACCACGGTGTTTTGGTCAGAGGCGTCAACCCGCCACCACAAAAAAACCGAGGTGGCGGGTTGACGTGTACGTACAAGTCAACCCGCCACCTCGACAACAGGCCACCACGACAACCCACCACCACACAATTTTCCGAGGTGGCGGGTTGTCGTACACACTCGAGTCAATGAGCCACCACGACAACATGCCACCACGACAACCCACCAACACCAGTTTATATTAGAGGTGGCGGGTTGTCGTGAAGCTCCATGTTCGATATCGGCAACCCGCCACCTCGCACGTAGACGTCAACCAGCCACCACGTCAACCCGCCATCACTCTTTGACGAGGTGGTGGGTTGACGTGTACACTCCGTGTTCGGCGCCGTCAACGCGCCACCTCGCTCATAGGCGACAACGTGCCACCTCGACAACCCGCCACCATGCACTCTTGTCGTAAATCGGTTGGATTTATTTTATGTATCATTAAATATATTGTACTTTGATTCAGTTAATTTAGAGAAGGTTAATGTAACTCTTAAATAGCATTTCTAGAAATGTTAGTTTTTCGGAAGAAAGATTGATAGTTAATACAATTATTAACATGGTGAAAACCAGACATTTGATTAGGTATCACGCCCTTAAGGGTAGAAACTTTTCAATTATAACACCTTAAACTGAAATTTGTCCACAAATAAGGGAGGAGTAGTGTTCACAAAAAAAAGCCCTCACGTATTAATATAAGAGATCATAAAAATGTATACCAAAAACAAAAATAGAATATTTATTTTACTTAATAGCCAGTGAATAAACATTTTTTTTCATTAGGCGTATAAATATACATATATAAGTTTTTTTCCACCACGTGCGCACGCAATATACGTGTAAAAATCATGCATTTATAAATTTAAACCGGCGATAGTCAGGGATTGCCCTTGTGCCATATAATGGTGATTGCGAAAGCAAGACGCAAAGAAAATTGTATTCACTTGAATTCAAAAGGTAATTCGGGTGAAATGATCGGTATTCTGTGATTAAAAATCTAAAAGACCCGGTATGGATTATAAACATAAAATAATGATATTTTATTCGCGAAATTAAACAAAACCATATCTTAATTAATCCTTTTAGTATAGGGGTTTTGTTTACTTTCGGGCCAAAAACGTAATTTGTTTATGTTTATGATAAATACCGGTATTTTTCTATTATTCGTGGATTAGACTAATTCACCTTTAAGCTTACCACGATGATTGTTGCTTCGATCAAGTTAAAAAAAAAATCGTAAGTCTGGTTCCGTTGCACAGTTTCCACCGTAGTGACTTCTGACTACTTACGGATTACTTACGATGGAGACCTGGGGCCCATTTCATAATAAACTACAAGTTACAAGTTACAACTTGTAACTTGTAATTTCCATAAGATTTGCATTGGGCGATCAGCTGATTTACTAATAATATTAGTTTGTACTTTATTATGAAATGGGCCCCAGGTAATCCTTCAATCGTGATTAAGTTAGAAGGATTGAAGGTCCCTTCAATCGCACGCACCCCCACAGGTCTCCATCGGCACTCCCGTTTTGCTAACACTCTACCTGTACATTAATTTGATTTACATATGATATATTTTTGTTACTATTCATTTAATTATTATTATTGTTCACTTTATCTTTCTACTATATACACGTATTTTTTATTCTCATCTTGAATTTGTGAGCTTACAACTTCATTGGTGACCTCGACGTGATAGAACTTAGTTTCGTCGACCATGATCCCTGCTAGAGAAAACTGGGTTTCGATTTGTGCAAACCACAATAATTCTGGATCTGAGTGCCCGAAAGGGGGGTAATCTTGACTTGAAAATTCTGTCTACTGGTTATCCGTTTGACATCACGTCGGGGTCAACCAGTAACCACTGGCAAGGTGCTGAAGTTATGGCTCTTTTAACTTTGAACAAAATGGTAAAAACAACCCCCATGACTGTGAAGGTTACAGTACAATGGTTATTATCATGTAACAATGGTCAATGTTATTATTAACTTTTGTGATTTAAACCACAAAATTAACTAAGCTGAATTTTGATTTCCTCATTATCAAATCACAAGTTCTCGAATGCTAAGATACGTATAATTCACTGATCTTAAATTAATAAGATGCCTTCTCATATACCTCTTGCAATTCTCAACATCATTCGATGTTTTGTAAAATATATTTGAATAATCTCAAATACAATTGATACGATCTGAAATTAACACGATTCTTTCTTTAATAAGAACTGAAAATGTTGTAAAATCTATTAGATATAGATATAGATATAGATATAGATATAGATCGATTGTACCTATTGTATCTATTGCAACCTAAGCTTGTGTTGAAATTAGTCACTTTACGCCCTAGTGTTAAAATGTATTATAAATTGGTTATGCTTCGATCATTTAGTTAGTCA